CCAAAAAATAGAAAATGTTTAGTAGAATGCTGTTATTACAGAAAACATGTATAATAAATAAGTTTTAAAACATATTTTAAGAACTGATGAAAAAAAGTTGTGTGCATGAAAAGTTTTTCTTCCCATTAATAACCTCACATCCTTTAAGTTTATTCTAGAATTCCCACAAATAAAATAAAGTTGTTTAAATCAGCCCAAACTGCAGCTGAAACAAGTGCATCCTAACTTAAAAGGTCATTTTATGATAATATAAAAGTAACTGAAAGTTTTTCTTTGTTAACCATTCTTTCAAGGATACTTTTGTACTTTTGTAAAAGATGAGGTTTTTTTTCTTTTAGCTTTGAGCATACACCTCTGTTGTGTCAGCATTTAACTACGTTCTCTTGAGTACTTCTTCCATCACTGTCACTGCTCCAACTAAGCAAACACTAACAGCAAAGAGAAAAATGCAACAGAAGGAGGCAACATTTTTGAGCTACATGGGTCGGTCCAATCCCACCCACACTCGGCTCTTTGCAAATATAAGTCATCTTAATGGATAGCGGCTGTTTGAAGAGGAAATTCAGCTCGGAATCCTCCCATCGAATATTAATCTCTCCCTCATTTTCCCAGTTTTATTTTAAATTTTTTTTTTTTTTACTCACCATTCCTACATCCTTCACCTCGCTCCAGTTTCCTCCCTTGTGAACGGAACCTGGCTTGCAGTGAGTTTTTGGTTTCAACTGCGCGTCAAGTATTCTTTGATTTGAGTTATGTGCTCAGAGGACAATCAATATTGTTGTTGGAAGAAAGCGATTACGATTTATTGGGGGAGAGCTTGAACCTTCACCCTCGAAGCTGCAGTAGGCCTCGATTCGGGGCGCTAATATATTGTAAAAGGGCACATCTGGGCATCTCCTGCATCTTTCCTTCTTCTTCTCACTGATTTCTAACTTTTTTGGCACCATCAGAAGAGGCTGCGACGCGTGATTAAAGAAAGTTATTTTTCTTGACTCTGACAGAGGACCATAACCCAAAATCTTTGGATTTTAGTTTACAGCTTCTTTTGAGAGTTCTGGGCGTCACATCCTGGAAAATCATTCTTAGGACATGGGTCGTTTTAAAGGAGCAGCTTTATAGCAGTGTCAATCATGACAGTCCAGGAATCAGAGGTTTAATGTTCATGGTTTGGCTTTGGCAGTCTAACCAGCAGCTGTCAAACTTTTTACTGGCTGACATGACAAATTTTCTATAAAGTGATGCCCGAGGTTCCAGAAACCACAGCCCTAATTCAGAGGCTGTCCACATCCATCCCGGGCTTTGTGCTCTTTCTGAGGGGTTCTTGACCTTGTTTGTTGACTTTCTTCTCATCATTTCTTATTTAGATGACACCAGATGCCCCACGCACACACGGACACACATTCACATGCATTACATCCACACTTTAATACACTGACACCATTGCAGGGCTCCCCTCCAGCCTCCCCCCAACCAAAAAAAAAATGCATTGAGTCAACTTTTCACCCCCTCTTTCTCAGTTCGGACGCACACAGCTGCAAATGCTGAAATTAAAGCGAGACATTGACGCATATATTAGCATGCATTAGCCGCTTCCCTCTGCCCACTTAACATGCAAATCTCCCAGCCCCGTCGCCTCGCACCTTCTGCCACACATTCATTTGCTGAATTATAATTAGACTAATCTTGCATAATTAATAAGAAGTTGAGGACCCTCTGTTTTTTTTTAATATCCCCCCCTCCTCTATTGTGGTTGCAAAAGTTTAATATTGCTGTTGTTTGTTTTTGTTTTGGTGAAGTAACACACCCACACGCCTTCCCGTTCACGCAAAGGAGATGAGTAGAACAAGCAAAGAACTGGAGGTAATCCTGGTGTCACGGGGAAATTGTAAAGAAACACTTTTATTCAAAGAATTCCTCTGGAGCAAGTGTGTTTATGTTTAATCTGTGAATGCAATACATTTACAGATTATTTTATTCCACAGTGCAGGTGATTCTTTGTTATTCTTTCTGTTTTTTTGAGTAAGTTGATGGGAAGTAAGAATAAATATTTACACTGTTTGTGTATGCTTTAAATTTCTTCTAAGTGCACAATTTGTGAGAAAAAAAAGATGAGATTAAATTTAAATAAAAGCAAATACTTTTTTAAATAATTGCTCACAAAGTTAATAGAAATCCATGTCAGTTGCATGTGGTCAACAATATGACCAGACTTTACATCTGCAACATCTCACCCATTAAAAACACAATTTGTCRTGCAATCTTCTGAAAAGTTTACAAACAATCAATATCCTGCCTGTTTTTTTGGATTGATCACGGTTTGGAGAAATGACGTGTAATTCTGACTGCAGGGAGCTGCTGTGCTTAAACAACTCCAACTTAAAAACACTTCTTATCTGTTGGTGTGAACTGCATTTWATAAACCTTTTTATTGCCTTCACTTCTGCGTGAGGTTGTTTTTTCTGGTAATTTTATGATGATCCTGCAGGAAGTGTGGCTGTGGTCTCTAAGTGCTCTTCAGTTTGGTCGGAATAAAACTTAATTTTCCCAAAATGAGGTCATTTAAACATATTGTTTATTCATAGCATTTCCACAAAACATCGCTTAAAAAGGTCTGAACTAGCCCTTTAAAACAGAAAACACATGCAGATTACAAATTTAGTCCTAAGCGTTGAGTGTATATTT